AGAACTTAATAACAACAGCAAAACCCATCTGATTAAAAATGGGCAGGAGAACAAAATAGACATTTTCCCAAAGAGGGCATCAGAATGACCAACAGGCCTATGCGAAGATGTCCCACATCACTAATCGTCAGGGACATGCAAATCACACAGGAAGTATCACCTCACACCTGTTGGAATGTCATCACGAAGCATCTGTGTTGAACCAGGATCTTGTGGTCGGATTTATCAGAGCTGTCAGAGTTCGTCTCAGATTTATTTAGTAAGTAACCCTGTTGTAGTGATAAGAGCGTATATGCCATGTGATCAAAATACCATCCAAGGAATATCTAATGTTGGCATTTTCTTTTGTTGTTTAGTCACTAAGTCATGTCTGAGTCTTTTGTGACTGTAGCCCGCCAGGCTACTCTGTCCATGGGATTCTCCAGACAGGAATACTGGAGTGGATTGCCATGCCCTCCTCCAGGGGATCTTCCCAACCCAGGGATCAAACCCAATCTTAGTCGATCTTCAGGACTTGAAAACTGAGGGGGAGGAATTGTCTCTAAAGGTATATGAAGATGCCTGATGAAAAAACACAGGGCTGCATGGAGCCCTCCAGTGAGATGAGAAACTGGCTTTGTTTATAGTAGCATGAAACAACTGCTGATGAAAAACATCTTTAATTCATTAAAAGATCCTTTGATCTGAAATGTAAGACCTGATACCATAACATTCCTGGAAGAGGGCGTAGGGAGGAGCTCCTGAGTGCTGGCCTTTGGAATGTTTGTTTTTGTTTCGTTTTGTTTTTTCCTTTTTTCACACGACTCCAAAAGCCCAAGCAGCGAAGCAGAAATCAACACATGGGACTACATCCAACACAAGTGTTTCTGCCTGGCAAGAGAAACAGTTAACAAAGTGAAGAGGGACCTTACAGGGTGGGGGAAAAGCTTTGCAAACCATGTATCAGATAAGAGGCTAATATGCAAAGTAAGTAAAGAATTTACAGAACTTAATAACAACAGCAAAACCCATCTGATTAAAAATGGGCAGGAGAACAAAATAGACATTTTCCCAAAGAGGGCATCAGAATGACCAACAGGCCTATGCGAAGATGTCCCACATCACTAATCGTCAGGGACATGCAAATCACACAGGAAGTATCATCTCACACCTGTTGGAATGTCATCACGAAGCATCTGTGTTGAACCAGGATCTTGTGGTCGGATTTATCAGAGCTGTCAGAGTTCGTCTCAGATTTATTTAGTAAGTAACCCTGTTGTAGTGATAAGAGCGTATATGCCATGTGATCAAAATACCATCCAAGGAATATCTAATGTTGGCATTTTCTTTTGTTGTTTAGTCACTAAGTCATGTCTGAGTCTTTTGTGACTGTAGCCCGCCAGGCTACTCTGTCCATGGGATTCTCCAGACAGGAATACTGGAGTGGATTGCCATGCCCTCCTCCAGGGGATCTTCCCAACCCAGGGATCAAACCCACTTCTCTTATGTCTCCTGCATTGGCCGGCAGGTTCTTTACCACCAGCGCCACCTGGGAAGCACCGCAGTGCTCTGTGATGTGAGCCCAAACAAGCGAACACAGCCCTGGACCCCGTCAGGGAGCATCACTGATAAGCACCGCCACACTTCATCCTTGGACAATCTTGTCCTCCTGACATCAGCCTCCATTGTTATGCTATTCTTTGACCTTCTTGTCACAAGCCTTCAAGAAATAATAAATATCTTGAAAGCCAAGACTGACATGAGTGGACAACTTTGATAAATTTATGTCAAGATTCCAACATTGGCCTGTCTTTCAGACAGGATAATGAAGGTGGATGCTCCCAGGTTCCATCTGACTCTTTACAAAGCTTCTCACCTAATCACACACCTTCCCCCTGTGCCAGATTAGGAGTTTGTAGATGAAAAGGTCAGCTGAGATTAGGGGCTTTTTAACTCATGCAATCAATGACAGCGACCTCTCCAAGTTTATTTCCAACTCAAAGATGGGCAATTATATGAGATTTATGCTCAGCGAAGAAGAAAAGCAATTATAATGATTTCTGCATGCATTTGAAGAGTATTGATGCATTCCCCACAGGTGTGTGGAAGCTAATTAGCATTTCCATTAATATTAGTTACTGTGATTACTGTTTACTGAGCACCTTCTCCGTGCCAGGTACCGTGCTTGGTGCTGCAGATAGAAGCGACCTGGTGCCGGGCGCGGCGGAGCTCAGGGTCTCCTGGGAGAACCAGATGCTAATGAAACAGAAACGGAGATGTTTCACAAACTGTGGTGAGCATGATGAAGGAAAAGGCATGGCATTCTGAGAGAGTGGAAGGGACGGGGCTGGGGGCAGCCCAGAGTAGGGACCCAAGTGAGCTGCTTCTGAGGAAAAAAACAAGCACAAAAGCATCACAGTGGAGAGACAGCCTCCCCTGGGCCATTCTGTAGCCATTCCGGGCTTTGTGGTGGTCAGTTTCTAAGTCGCGTGAGACTCTTTGCATCCCCATGGACTGCGGCACACCAGGCTCCCCTGTCCTTCACTGTCTCCTGGAGTTTGCTCAGATTCATATCCATCAAGTCGGTGATGCCATCCAACCGTCTCATCCTCCGTCATCCCCTTCTCCTCCTGCCCTCAATCTCCCAGCATCAGGGGCTTTTTCAATGAGTCTGTTCTTCCCATGAGGTGGCCAAAATATTGGAGCTTCAGCATCAGTCTTTCCAAAGATTATTCAGGGTTGGTTTCCTTCAGGATTGACTGGTTGGATCTCCTTGCAGTCCACGGGACTCTCAAGAGTCTTCTTCAGCACCACAGTTCGAAAGCATTAATTCTTTGGCACTCAGTCTTTTTTATAGTCCAACGTCACATCCGTACATGACTTCTGGAAAAACCATAGCTTTGACTAGACCAGACCTTTGTCAGCAAAGTGATGTCTCTGCTTTTTAATATGCTGTCTAGGTTTGTCATAGCTTTTCTTCCATAGCTTCCACTTTTTCCCCATCTGTTTGCCATGAAATGATGGGACCAGACTGTAAGCTGCTGAAGACTCCTGACCTGATATTAAAACCAATGAGGAGCTTTGTGTGTGTGTGTTTTAAGCAGCTTTGTTGGGCTACAGTTCATCTATTTAGTGTCCAGGGTCAGTGGCTCTCCAGATATCCAGATATGTGCAGCTGTCTCCATAGTCAACTTTAGGACATTTGCATCACCTCAAGAAGAGGCCCCATACACTGATGATGTAGACATCAACGCACTGTTCCCCACCCCCACTGTAGCCCCTGGCAACCACTCATCTCTTTTCCGTCTCTGTGGATCTGCTGCTTCTGGACATTATATGCAAATAGAACCATACAATATGTGGCTTCCTCTGAGACTAGTTTTCTTCACTGAGCATTGTGTTTTCAAGGTTCATCCATGTTGTAGCACATGTGTCAGTTCTCCATCCCTTTTTATGGCTATATAATGTTCCCTAATGAATAGATCACTTTGTGTTTTTCCTTTCGTCTATGGGCACGGGAGTTGCTTCTACCTTTACCGCTGCTACTGCTAAGTCACTTCAGTCATGTCCGACTCTGTGCGGCCCCATCCCTGGGCTTCTACCTTTAGGCTAGTGTAAATAGTGCTACTAGGAACTCGGGTGTGCAAGTTTTCATGTGGATGTCTGTTTTCATTTCTCATGGGCGTTCAGGAATGGAACTGCCAGGTTGTATGCTAACTGTGTTCAGTCCCAGAGATACCATGCTTTTCTGCAGTGGCAGCACTGTTGTACTTTCCCACCAGTGGTGTGTGAGGGTTCCAGTTCCCCCACATCCTGGTGGACGCTTGCTGTTGCAGAGTGTTTGATGTACCTGTTGTGGAGGGTGTGAGGAGGTACTGCACTGTCTTTGGGTGCTGTTAAGTTCGGAGATGCCAGGATCGTCCAGGGCTGTGTGTCTAGTGCTGTGTTCTCAAACTCGGAGGCTCATCAGTATCAGGCAGGGAAATTAAAACGCACAAGACAGCATGACGCCCCTGTCTGACTCTGCAGGCCCAGGGCGCCGGTAACTGCATTTCTAGTGAGTTCTCAAGTGGTGATGCTGCTGCTGCTCCAGACACCAGACTTGGAGAACCGCTTTGCTAAACTTACCAAAGCCCTGGGTAGTCATTACTCAAATCCATTTCATGCGCCTTCACTCATCAAAGGTCGTCTGCATAAAACTTGCACCACCCTCCAAGCAGCACAGAGTCTAAACTACAAGTTGTTTGCCCAAGTTGTGGTCCAGGAATTTGGAGTCAGCTGTGGGCTTTCTCGCGTGGCGCTTATGGTAAAGAATCCACCTGCCAATGCAGGAGATGTAAGAGACAGGGGTTTGATCCCTGGATTGGGAAGATCCCCTGGAGGAGGAAATGGCAACCCAGTCCAGTATACTTGCCTGGAGAATCCCATGGACAGAGGAGCCTGGTGGGCTACAGACCATGGAGTCCCAAAGAGTCGCGTACACGACCGAAGCGACACGCACGGTTGGAGCAGAGCCTGTTAAGACCCCCAACCGAGCATGCATGAGCGTGCGCCCAGGGACATTGATGACAGAGGGCGGAAAGGCCACCCTCAGGTGGTGACTTGGCCTAGCTGCGCTTGCGCAGAACCATCCGGCCCGCCCCTTGTCCCATCACCTCCCCCACGCGCCTCCCATGCTGCGCGCTTTTATCCCACAGTCCGTTAGCCCCTTGCCTTTGGGGCGGCTGGTCTGAGACCTGTTCTGTCTCCCCACTCGGCCGCCTTGCAAATACCCGCCTCTCTGTGCTGCAGACCTCAGCGTCTCCACCCTTTGATTTGCTCGGTGCGCGCGCAAGCGGGCACGCCAAACCTGGTTCAGAAACGTCAAGAACGGAGGCGAGCGGTGGAGTCGACAAGCGAGTGGGAGGTGAGGGGAGAAAGGGAGAGACAGGGAAGGAGGTGGAGAAGGAGCCGCGGAGGAGGGAATGCAGCAGGGAGACTCGCCGGGGTTAAAACGCCGAGACCCGTCCCCGGATGCTCAGAGCAGCTTCACCAAAGTCACCCAGCATTGCAAACAACCAAGATGCCTTCGGCCGATGCAGGGGTACTCACGGTTATTCCGGTCAGCAGATTATTACCCAGCACTGAAAAGAAATGAGCTGTCACTCCATGGACAGGCATGGAGGAGCCTTAAATGTGTACCCCTGAGCAAACGCAGCGAGGCTGAAAGGCTCATAGACCGTGATGCCAAGTATAACATTTTGTAAAGAGCAAAACTATGGCGATAGTCAAAGATGAGTGGTTGCTAGAACTTGGGAGAAGGCAGGAGGAATAAGTGAGCACAGAGGATTTTCAGGGCAGTGAGAGGACTCTGCCTGTCATGGTAGATACCTTTGTCAAAACCCACAGGTTGTAAGATGTGGAAACGATAGACTCAGTTGATGAGAGTGCAGCAGTACCGGTTCCTCAGTTGTACCGTCCCACACTGATAGGATGTAAACAGGGGAACTTGAAGGCAGGGACTCTGCAGCACGGGGGTGCGGAGGTCAGGTCCTGATCTGGGGGCCCCAGAGCAGCAGGAGGCAGCCAAGAAGCGGGGAGACCTGTGGGCGCAGCCTGGGAAGGTGAAGGCATTTCACAGTGGCAGCTTCCGTTTCAGGGGGAGAAGGGTGCAGTCGTTGTCTTAAAATGGGGGGTGGGGGTGGGATTTGAGGTTCAAAACAGTCGTGGATCAGGAACAAGGGAGCTGCTGAGAAGACCTAGTGGAGGCACTGGGGGCAGGGAGTGCCTGAGGATACAGGAACTCTAACCTCACTAGAAAACGGGCATTTTTAACTGCATCTTAAAGATGCCTTCAGGCGCTTTCCTTCTGAGTTCCCCTCCTTCCCCATGACCGGGGACCCTAAAAGACCCCCCAACTCGGAGGTGTGCTTGTTTGACATTTCAGGGAAGTAGTCATTTCCTTCTGTGTTTTCCCTAAATGGTCAGCACCCTTCTGGCACTCAATTTATCACATAATGGTTTGTTTTCCGACTGTTTCTACCCCTAGAAGGCCCTGAGGGCCAGGTCACTACTTTCTTCACATTTGGAGTTGTTACCTTAGCATCTTGTCACCATCGGAGTATTTCACTTTTGTTAATTAGCAGCAAACAATTCCCCACGTCCTTAACCACAGACCTGTCCTTCATCAAGGGTCATCCTGGCTCTGGTGTTACGACCCAGATCCTTCCTGGAGGAGCAAATCTTGGTGGTGCTCATGGTTGATTCCACCTGGTTCTCAAGTACCGCCCTGGTTTTTAACAGTTTATTTTTGTTGAGGTGAAATTCACATCCCGTAAAACTAACCACTTTATAATGAACACTTCAGTGGCATATAAGTCCACTCACAGGGTTGTGCGACCACCATCTTTAATTCTGTAACTTTCTCGTGTCAGAAAGAGACCCTGTACCCATCAGTCACACCCCCCACCCCCCACCCCATAACAGATGCTAACGTGCTTTCTGTCTCTATGGACTTAACGATTCTGGGCATTTGGGTTGATCTGCCTTTTGGTTATTGTAAAAAATGATGCTGTGGGGACGTCCCTGGTGGTCCAGTAGCTAAGATTTCACCTTCAGTGCAGTGGGTTATGGGTTCAGTCCCTGGTCCGGAAACGAAGATCCCACTTATCTCGCAGCTCAAACTCTAGAACATAAAAGCAGTATTGTAACAAATTAAATGGAGACTTTTAAAAACAAGGATGCTGATGCTGTGAACTGGCAGGCAGCTGCCCTGCTTTTGAAACAGACACTGACCTGTGCCACCTCTCCACTCACCCCACCCTGTCCTCCTGTCCGCGCCCCCGCCAAGGCTCCCAGCCCAGTTACCACCAATGCCTTCAGCAGGCCTTCAGGAAAGGAGACGGGTCACAGTGGCCCTGCCCCTCCCCAAGACTGCTCCCAGACCCTTTCCCAAGTCCTTCTGTTTCTGTCCGCAAAGGTGCCACTGAAGAAACCCTGGTGTTTCTGTAAGGCAGGGAGGGAGTGAGGGAGACACAATGGCCTTATGCTGGGCCTTTTATTTGGTGACATGCTTTTTATCTTCTGAGTGCTTTGTCTCAGCTGTCCCTCCACATTCACACACCCAGATGCACCTCGTTATTTTTAGCTGTTTAATGAGCTCCTCTCCTGTTGATGGGTTCGTGGGAGGTTTCCCATTTTTCACTCAGTCAAGTAATTTTGTGACAAACATCATTTAAATGCTTCGTCCTCGTAAACGCACCAGGATTTCTGCCTGCCGAGTGGATGCTGCGCGAGGTCTCGGTCACTGGAAACGTGCCTTGTCAGTTTGAATGGACTCCACCAGTTCCCCCCACAGTCCTTGTCCCAGCGCTCCACTAGGACAGCCTGCCTCAGTTCTTTTGCCAACACTCTAAATTCTTCAATGTGATGCTCCTGCAAACCCGGGGAAGGGAAGCAGCACTGAATTCTTATTTTCATCTGCATTTCCCTGGCTAGCAACCACACAGTTGTTTGTAGGTGGGACTAAGGCAGCTGTTCTCAACCAGGGGTGATGGGATGCCCTCCAGCATCAGCGTAGCCAAGTCTGGAGATGTTTCTGATTGTCAGGCTGGGTGAGTGGGGCTTCTGGCCTCTAAAGAGTGTGGAAACCTGGGATGCAGCTGACCATCCTGCAGTGCACGGAACACCCCACAACAGAGAAGGTCCATGGCACAAAGTGGAGAAACCTAGAGAAGAGAAATACATGGTCTGAAACCTACCCCTGTAACTGAGCGTGCCCTGGAATAGCGTGTGGGGTTTTTATAAAAACAGTGATGATGAGACATTTCTCAGCAAAGCTTATCTCTGTACACGAGTTGTGAGAGCTGCCCTGTTGAATGATGTCCACAAAGGTGGTGAGGACTTCCTGTCTGCGGCAGTTAGCAATACGATTGCCCACGTGTCATTCTGCATCTCCAGCCTCAAGCGAGAAGAACCTGGTCAGTGGGACTTGCAGCCTGCAGCCCCTCACTGACCACAATGCTCTTTCGTCATCTGCTGTCCCTCTCCCGTGCCCGCTGCACTGGGCACACTTCCCACCTGGACAGTTCCAGTCATTCCTTCGCTCTGTGTGCCTTGCCTTTATTTCACAGGCAGGTATTCAAAAATGCCTGTTAAATGATTCAACATTTTCTGCTACATAATGAAAATGTATTCCCCTCCACTTTCCCAAATCATCTTAAGAGTAAGAATTAACTGTTTGGGAAATAAATATTTATGCATATTATTCCTGACCTCTGCCTCTCTTCAAATGGTAAAGGAAAATTCTGCACCAACCTGACAAAAAGAGCAGAACTTACAAAAAACTGCATCGCATGAAAACCCCCAGGATTAACGTCCACAGGCAGAGTCTTGGAAAGGGCCCATCTCCCTTGATTTTCTGCAGTGAAATTCCTCAAGTAGTCAAAAGAACAAACATTTAGAAGAACAATGGACCGAAGTATTTGCTCCTTCATAAGCTTTATTAGTAATTCCACATATACGTTCACGGTCATCCTATGGAGCTGGTCTAATAAAACATGATGGCTGACAGAAACATCATACGGTTTCAGCCTTTTGCTTTCTTTTGATGTGAGAGTGAATATTAATCGAGGAGGTGGACGTGGGGACTGGAGGCACGTTCACCCAGATGGAGCCCTGTGCGTCCGTTCATGGAGAACAGAACATCCCAGTCAAGGCTGCTGTCCATCTGTGGCACTTACTCTCCAGGTGGATTTGAACCAGTCAGTGCTGCTTTTAGAAATGGGTGGGGTGATGCTGGGAGTCCTGTGTGGGGAGCAGCCACCCAAAGTTGGTTCTCATATGGGTACATATGTGCCATTGCTATTAATACATTCTATACAGCTAATGAGCTTTTTGTTGTCCAGTCATTAAGATGTGTCCAACTCTTTGCGACCTCATGGACTGCAGCACACCAGGCTTCCCTGTCCTTCACCATGTTCCAGAACTTGCTCAAACTCATGTCCATGGAGTCGGTGATGCCATCCAACCATCTCATCCTCTGTCGCCCCCTTCTCCTCCTGCCCTCAATCTTCCCAGCATCAGGGTCTTATCCAGTGAGTCGGTGCTTCACGTCAGGTGGCTAAAGTGTTGGAGCTTCAGGTTGAGGAGTCTTTCATAACTTCTTGAGCAGCCCATTTTTGCTGATTCCGTAAGTGTTTGAGTACCCTGGGGCAGACTGAATCACTGGTGTGACTTCTTCCCTCCCCTGTAGTTTATTGTGCACCCAGATCTTGGCCACCGCTTCATGGAGGGCAGAGTATTTTCTTAGCACTGGACACTGGGTTTGGCCACATGTCATGCTTTGGCTCATATCGGGTTAGCAGGCGAGATGCTGAGGCTTAAAATGTGCCCATCCAGTGCAGTTGGGCTGCACACTGCTTGCCTCTGGGGTCCAACTGATCCAAAGATAAGCACAGAGCAGGCAGACTCTGGCCAAACACAGCTGAATCTAGCCAAGATCAGCCACATCCCACGAACTGGCAGACACTTGAGCCAGAAGTAAGTGCTTGTTACTGTTCAGAGAGTTCGGGGCCTTTGTTGTGCGCTTACTCACTCAGCCGTGTCCAACTCTCTGCAACCCGGTGGACTCCTCTGTCCGTGGGAATTCTCCAGGCAAGAATACTGGAGTGAGTCGCCATGCCTTCTTCCAGGGGATCTTCCCAACCTGGGTCTCCAGCCTTGCAAACAGGTTTTTTTACCATCTGAGCCACCAGGAAAGCACTTGGGGGCTTTGTTACGCAGCATTACTGTGACAATAGCTGACCAGTACACTCCTATAGTATTCTCAAACTCAGGGTGCAAAGATGAAGAGCTTAATGAAAGGCCCCAGTGTTCAAGGGGCTTGAAGTTGAGTGTGGGAGCAGACTGGTGAACTGGTGCAAAGCTGACACAGGTGCTATTATAAACATATGAGCCAGAGGTGTAGGGACCTGGAGGCCAGGCAGGGGCTCTGCTGCTTCTAGGAGATCGTGTTACCAAGTCCAAGCTCATACTGCTCGCCACATGACAGACCAGTAAATCATGACATGAGTTGTTGGGACAAGGAATAGAGATGGTATTCAGAAAATCAGCAGACTGAGAAGATGGTGGACTCGCGTCCCAGAGAACCGTCTCACCCAAGTCTGAGTTCAGGGTTCTTTTATACTAGAGGGGAGGGGCTGTGGCTGGTTGCTGCAGACTCCTTCATTCCCATCATTGTGCTTGTTGCTGAAGGCACAGTGTCTCTAAACCTCCCACAAGATGAGTTTTATCCTCTGCTCTGCCAAACAGGTTTTTTTACCATCTGAGCCACCAGGAAAGCACTTGGGGGCTTTGTTACGCAGCATTACTGTGACAATAGCTGACCAGTACACTCCTATAGTATTCTCAAACTCAGGGTGCAAAGATGAAGAGCTTAATGAAAGGCCCCAGTGTTCAAGGGGCTTGAAGTTGAGTGTGGGAACAGACTGGTGAACTGGTGCAAAGCTGACACAGGTGCTATTATAAACATATGAGCCAGAGGCGTAGGGACCTGGAGGCCAGGCAGGGGCTCTGCTGCTTCTAGGAGATCGTGTTACCAAGTCCAAGCTCATACTGCTCGCCACATGACAGACCAGTAAATCATGACATGAGTTGTTGGGACAAGGAATAGAGATGGTATTCAGAAAATCAGCAGACTGAGAAGATGGTGGACTCGCGTCCCAGAGAACCGTCTCACCCAAGTCTGAGTTCAGGGTTCTTTTATACTAGAGGGGAGGGGCTGTGGCTGGTTGCTGCAGACTCCTTCATTCCCATCATTGTGCTTGTTGCTGAAGGCACAGTGTCTCTAAACCTCCCACAAGATGAGTTTTATCCTCTGCTCTGCCACTTGCTCTGTGTCTAGTTGCTCAGTAACATCTGACTCTCTACAGTCCAGGGACTGTAGCCCACCAGGCTCCTCTATCCATGGTATTTCCCAGGCGAGAATACTGGAGTGGGTTGCCATTTCCAACTCCAGGGGGGTCTTCCCGACCCAGGGATTGAACCCAAGTCTCTTGGATCTCCTGCGCTGGCAGGTGGGTTCCTTACCACTAGTGCCCCCTGGGAAGCTCCTGCCAGTGTTTACCTGTATGTAAATGGAGAAGTGTTAGACCCTGAAAGTCAGAGCCTTGAGAATGGGCTCCCCTGTGTATTTCAGGCTATGGACAGTTTTCCTTTTTTAAATTTATTTTTAACTGGAGGATAATTACTTTACAACGTTGTGTTGGCTTCTGCCACACAGCAACACGAATCAGCCAAAGTTATGTATATATGTCCCCTCCCTCTCGAACCTCCCTCCCACCTTATAGGCAACCTTCTTAACTGGCAACAGAAGGTTAAAGTGAAAGAGATCCAGCATCCAGAGTCGGGCTTGTTCTTCCCTCTTAGGATAGGGGTGCCCTTCTTAGGGAAGGCAACTCAAACTGAGATTTATCAGGCAGCTACGGGAGGGGAAGGAGCTTTTCAGCAAAGAGAGGAGATACGTGCAGTGTCCATGGGTCTGCTGGCATGCAGTCTGGCTGGAGTGTGGGATGTTAGGGGCAGGCAGACTGACATGGGGCCAGAATTGGGGGCCTGCACCCCACTGCAACCAGATCCAACAGCCTCTTCTAAAGTCCTCTGGAGAGAATCTGGTGTAAAAGATGAAAGTGATCGGAAGAGAGACTTTGATATAGGGGAAGAAAAATTCAATGTGAAATCCTGCCGTAATAAGAAACATAGCCACCCTAGAGAATGCTGGCACCTCCAGAGGAGACCTGACTTTCAGTCTGTGCCTGATACAGACAGACTGATAATGTCATCCTGACAGATGACAGATAATGTCAGACTGACAGGCTCTAAAAGGCAGCAAAGAATTGGAGAAAAACACAAAGAGGATAAAAAGCTTACAAGTGGGCTGAAATCTCCCAGACAGAAAAAATGAAAAAAATGTCAGCTGACTGAAGTGTAAGTTTCTACGAGGGGCAAGACATCCCCTGCTCACCTTGCATTGTCTGGGACAATGGTGAGTGTCTGAGGCTCAGACCCACCGCCCACGGGGGAGCCCAGCAGTCGAGTGAACGCACGCGGCAGGCTCAGGTTTGGGTGGCAGGGGACCAGGGCTTACAGCCCCAAAGGGCAGCTGCTGCTCGAGCCCCTTCCCTACCTGTTTGCAGGCAGCTCTGAGGACCCACAATGCTGATGCTTCCAATTGGTTTCTCCAGGGGGGGGTCAGAAATCAAGATTTTACTGGGATGTCATCTAATGTGTAAAAGCTGTTAACTAGTTGAAATTAAAAAAAAAAAAAAAGCACTGCATGTGTCAAATTAAAACCCCAAAGAGATTCAGTCCTGACTGCCAGCCAATGGTCAGAAGTGTTCGTTTAAATCCAAAGGGGAATGGAAGGACTCGCCACCAGGATGAGGTTTCACAAATAGCCACATTTTACCTGAATCCAAAAGCCGCCTTTGCATCAGGAGTCAGACTAGGAGAGGCTTTCTGAACCCCTGGCAAGCACACAGAAGCGGGGAGCAGAAAATGCCAGCCACTTCAGAGTCGTCGTGAACCGTCTGCACCAGGTCCCGAAGGTAAGGCACAAATACAGCAACTGTGTCCTCCTCCAGATAGGGCTTCGTGGGATCTGGGGGATTGTTGGCTTTGGGTTTTGGGGCTTTAGAAATAGCGTTCAAAGGAATAAAAACAAAATCGCATTTAGTTATGAATTTACTTGAGGATTTCCCTGTATTTTCTGAACACCAGCCTCTTTCACAGTATTATGTCGTTGTAGGAACCATAGCAAGGCTTCCCAGGAGGCTCAGTGGTAAAGAATCTACCTGACAACGCAGGACACATGGGTCAGGAAGATCCCCTGGAGGAGGAAATGGCAGCCCACTGCAGTATTCTTGCCTGCGAAACCCCATGGAGAGGGGAGTCTGGTGGGCTACAGTCCATGGGATCGCAGAGTCGGATGCAGTTGAGCATGCACACATACAAGAACCACTGCAGGTGTTCTAACCATTTCACAGCTCTTTCTTGGTCAGAAAAGCAGGGCCACTCTGAGTCTTTTGGACCTAGGGGTTTTCTGTGGACACTGGTCCTTCACACACGTGGGAAGTGAAGGCTGGGCAGGTGGTTGTGGGAGATGGTAGAAAAGTCATTCATCGGGTCCCCCGGCGCGCAGAGCAGTGGGTGCGGTCGGTCCTTGGGGGAAACACAGGAGGTCAAGCACAGGTGGCAGTTCCAGGCACTGTGACTGGGAGTTCCGTGCGAGGACGATGGCACACCTGGATGGCTGCTGTCCCTCTGGACCACGGCCAAGGGCCTCAGGTGAAAAGAGAAGATGCTCCGACATGGAGCCCCGAGGGTGTGCTGGCCACCCTGGGTGGAGTAGGGGTGATGGGGACCACTGTCCCAGGGACCCCTGCGTCTGCTCAGGGTGTTCTGGGGACAGCATCTGCTGCTCATCCCTCCCTCAAATCTCCTGTAAAGTCCTCTTCCCACCAACTCTACCCAGAAGCTTGTAGGGCAGAACTCAGACATGGAGTTCTCAGCCTCAGCCAAGGTGATCAGGTAACTCTGCATATAGGAAAGTGAAGTCGCTCAGTCATGTCCAACTGTTTGTGAACCTGTGGACTGTGTCCATGGGGTTTTTCAGGCAAGAGTACTGGAGAGGGTTGCCATTTCCTTCTCCAGGGGATCTTCCCGAGCCAGGGATCGAACCCAGTCTCCCGTGTTGTGGACAAACGCTTTGCCATCTGAGCCGCCAGGGAAGTCTGGAGTTAAAACACTTGATGTGGGTCTGCATGACTTTGAAAGCATATTCAGCACAAGTGATTGTGTAAACATATTCATTTCATGAAATGCAGGGAAATAGATGGGGTTTTCCAAAACTATAGAAAACGCTAGATTTATTTAAACTTCAAAGTAAAAAAAAAAATTTTTTTTAAAGGATAGCCAAGAAGTCTTCCAACAGTTTATTAGAAAGAATGTAGACATTAAAAAAAAAAAAAACTCACTGTCATGAACATAAATTGAGGTTTCCAGCCGAGATACAAGCTGAATCAAGGGAAAAAAAAAGGAATAAAAAAATCCAATAGTGTATTAACATTTTTTCCACTCATTTGCCATACTGACAGTGCAAATACAAATTTGGTCTAAACGTACAGACTCTCAAGCAACAATGTACAGCCTTTCTTTGTCCTCCATGCTAAGAGATGTAAAAGTTTAAGGGTCAAACAATACCAAATGTACAGGCTTCAAAACCATCCAAGTTAGGGCATTCACTAGTTTTAGCTAAGATACATCTGAACACTGACAAGTGATCACTTACATACAATAATGTGAAGTAAATTTTTTGAAAAATAAAACTTTAGTGGAACAATCCTGAAGGAAATGCCAGAGGAACATGTTACGTTTAAAGTATCAACCAATTGTTTCAGCCACTTTGAGTCCATGTTCTAAAATCTAAAATTTAGTTACTTTGCTCAACATCACTCATTATCAGAGAAATGCAAATCAAAACCACAATGAGGTACCATTATACGCCAGTCAGGATGGCTGCTATCCAAAAGTCTACAAGCAATAAATGCTGGAGAGGGTGTGGAGAAAAGGGAACCCTCTTACACTGTTGGTGGGAATGCAAATTAGTACAGCCACTATGGAAAACAGTGTGGAGATTTCTTAAAAAGCTGGAAATAGAACTGCCATATGACCCAGCAATCCCACTTCTGGGCATACACACCAAGGAAACCAGATCTGAAAGAGACACGTGCACCCCAATGTTCATCGCAGCACTGTTTATAATAGCCAGGACATGGAAGCAACCTAGATGCCCATCAGCAGACGAATGGATGAGGAAGCTGTGGTACATATACACCATGGAATATTACTCAGCCATTAAAAAGAATTCATTTGAATCAGTTCTAATGAGATGGATGAAACTGGAGCCCATTATACAGAGCGAAGTAAGCCAGAAAGATAAAGACCATTACAGTATACTAACACATATATATGGAATTTAGAAAGATGGTAACGATAACCCTATATGCAAAACAGAAAAAGAGACTCAGATGTATAGAACAGACTTGTGGACTCTGGGAGAAGGCGAGGGTGGGATGTTTCAAGAGAACAGCATCGAAACATGTATATTATCTAGGGTGAAACAGATCACCAGCCCAGGTTGGGTGCATGAGACAAGTGCTCGGGCCTGGTGCACTGGGAAGACCCAGAGGGATCGGGTGGAGAGGGAGGTGGGAGGGGGGACCGGGATGGGGAATACATGTAAATCCATGGCTAATTCATTTCAATGTATGACAAAAACCACTGCAATGATGTAAAGTAATTAGCCTCCAACTAATAAAAATAAATGGAAAAAAAAAATTAGACATGTCTTCATCGGAATCATCTTCCCAGTCTTTCCAATTATTAAAGTCCACACTAAGCCAATTAAGCTTTGCCCTTTCTTTTGTTAACCTTGGCCATGACTGGCCAGATTCTCCTTTCCGTCAACAACATAAAATCGATCTGTCCATTCTTTTATGCTTGGAATCATTTGGATCAATACAGTGAAAAAGGTCAATTTCATTTAAATGTTTAAAATTATCACTTTCTCCAAGACAACTGAATGTAAGTTTTGATTTTTCAAAATTTACATTAACATCTTTACTGTCTTCAACACAAAATTCAATGAAGACATAGTCCCTCCGATCGTACCACTTTGCAGAAGCAGGTTGCATCCTGAACGGGGCAGGGGGACGGGCTAACGGGTGGGCAGGCCTCTCCGGTGGCGACTCCGGCGTCTTCTCCCCAGTCGCGGCCTCTTCTCGCTTTCCTCAAGCGACAGGCGGCGGCGGGCTCACCTGGCTCCCCAGAATGCACCGCGCGGGGAGAGCAACTCCAAATTCAAAGTAAAAAATTTATATTGAAATCTACCTTGACTTTCAGCTATCCATTATATCCTAAAAATGGGCACATGGACAAACGTTGCTGTTGTTCAGTTGCTAAGTCATGTCCGACTCTTTGTGACCCCGTGGACTGCAGCACACCAGGCTCCTCTGTCCTCCTCTGTCTCCCAGGATTTGCTCAAGCTCATGTCCATTGAGTGGGTGATGTCATCCAACCATCTCTTCCTCTCTCACCCCCTTCTCCTTTTGCCCTCAGTCTTTCTCAGCATCAGGGTGTTTTCCAGTGAGTCACCTCTTCAAGTCAGGTGGCCAGAGTATTGGAGCTTCAGCGTCATGCCTTCCATAGAATATTCAGGGTTGATTTCCTTTAGGATTGACTGGTTTCATCTCCATGCAGTCTGAGGTTTGGACTCGTTACAGTCTACCCAAAAGTTGGGTAGATGTTTGATGTTCTTGCAGCTTCGATTTCAAAACTTAACTGTTTTAGAAACAAGTCTTGTGTTTTATTGTAAGTGAAAAGATGGGAGAGGTGGTTTCAAGCGCCATCTGTGAGCATCTCTGCACAGACATGGAATTGGGGAGAGAGATGGGTAGACTCTCCCAGAAGATGGGGGACAAGTCAGGCAGGGCTGTGGCTTCATGCTGTAACACTAGTTTTTAAAATAGAAAGGAGCCTCAGCGTGTCATTTTTGACACAGCGGTGGTGATTTATGACTGTCATAAAGAGCTGCCAAGTGTCATCTAGAGACAAATTTGAAGTCTCCCTATTTCTTTTTTATTCTCCTATTTAACTTGTATTTAAAATTCAGAGTTCAGTATGCTTCCCACTTTTGAACAGTGGTCTGGGCCGTGTATGCTCTGAGCCATGGCTAAGGATGACAAGCATGTAAAATTGCACAATTAAAAACCACTTAAAACTTCATAGTGGTCAAGCCTCCTTGGTGGCCTGAGTCATTCTGCAAGTGACAGAGCAGATGGAGGAGAGGCAGACACAGCCATTCAAGCTCCAGCCGCCGGTCGGGGGACCTCAGGGGCCGGTTTCTACCTCGCCTCCCAGTCGGACGGCAGCCAGAGCAAGAGAAAAGACCGGACACGCGGGCAGTGAGGAACAGAGGCCCAGCGCCCTACCACCTGACTGGTAAAGGTCTTTCGGGCAACACCAGTCCGCAAGACCTAGAGTGGCTGTTTCTTCAAACACGCAGACACTAGTGCAAAGCTACAAGCAACACCAAGAATCGGGAAGACAGGACTCGTTCGAGAGAACAGAATGAATCTCCAGTATCTGACTGCGGACGTCCCCGGGCCGTGACACCTGTCCGTCATGAAGGGACGCTCAGCGAATGGGGGATAGAGGGAGGTCATTGCCTGAGTCACGGGGGAAGCTTTGGGTGCAGGGGTGCAATGGATCAAGTCAGTCTGGTTTTGTACAAAACAGCATTTGCTGCTTTGTGTAACCAAAAAGTCCAAGGGCAGTCCTCACCTTGGTCCGGGGTTGATGTCGTCAGGCCAGGCCCAGCTCCGTTGCTGATCTCTGCATTCACCATGTCATCTTCTCTGCGGATTAGAATTGTCTTTGTGAAAAACAAGGCATCTGAGCAGCAGAGCTGCACAGCTCGGGGAACGGCTGCAAGCACGCGGCCCGCGAGAAAGGGCCCTGCCTCGTTTGAAGCCGCCTGAGTCAGATGCCAGCCCCAGGGTCGGAAGATCCCCTGAACGGGGAGGTTGGATGTGACAAGCGCAGTGGGGATGGGGGCAAAGTGGGAGTCACAGAGAGAAGAGAGACTTTGTGTAACAGTGCAGGCGAAAAGAAAAGAAAAAGAAGCAATATGTAAAGAATGGCTTACCTTATAACACAACTAATTAGAAGATAGAACACAAGAAGTAATTCCCTTAAAAAGGCAGGGACAGCCCGACCACAAAGATAAAATTCCTAAGAATAAAATATGCAGGTTCCTTATGAAGAGAACTTTAATACGCTCCTGGGGGCTCAGAATCAGCCTAGAATAAGGGGAACATATATCACATTCTTGCATCAGAAGATCTACAGAATGACAGGCCCACACTTCCAAAATGACTTCCAAAATCAAATCTACCATCACCCCATCACAGTACCAATAGATTGTGTGTGTGTCCAATATTCTTGAATGATGTCAAATTGGTGTGGAAAACCAGGTGAAAACAGAAAGGAACATCTGAAAAGAGAAGAAAGCCCTACCAGATATTAAAACATAGTTTAAACCCACCTTCTCTAAAACACTGTAGGACCTACACGTGAGTAGACAGAAGAGTCAATGGATCAGAATAAAAAGTCCAGAAATAGATGCAAACATTTATGAGAACTGTGTTTATGACAGAGTTGGTGTCTCAGTAATGTGAGCACAACTGTGTAGTCATTCCTACATCCACAAAAATAATAAATCAGAACAAAATTATTTTTAAAAGAAAGCCACAAACATAATCAAGAAAAATGCTAGGTTATAAAATAATCTTGGATTTGGGGAGCTGTGTATCCACAATACAAATTCAGAAACTGGAAGAAAAGAAAACAGGTTTGATCACGTGATACCAGTAATAGTAACTTCTGTATGACAGCCCACGCTAAGCAGACTCATGAGACAGATGACACAGTTAGAAAAACATCTGCCATTCATATTACAAAGGTCTAAGTTCCCTAGTAAGACACTAGTGGCAGAAGTTTTTTAAGGACAAAGGCTATAAAGATAAGGTTCAGAGACGAGGAAATTTAGCATAAAGAAACCAGCAGGCACTTTGACCGTTTTGCCTGGAAATCTGAGCCAGATCCATCCGGTCATTACAAGCATTTCTGGTTTCCATGTTACCATGGCAACCACTGGCTCAACGTTCTGCCACCACATAATCAGGCCCTCCTTCCCAGCAGCCAGTTCTCAACGGCAGCGCATCACTCTGCCCACCACTGTATGCACACACGGCTGTCTGTGTATATGCACATGTATAGACCTACATACACACACACACACCTGGTTGGTTGTACATTAAAAATAACATCTGGAAGCATATACGGTTGCTGCTCAGTATTCACAGGGCATGGGTTCCAGGACCCCCTGTAGACACCAAAATCCACGGATGTTCAAGTCCCTTAAAGTCGATGGTCCTATACAGTCACCCCACCCCCACCCCTGTATCTGTGGTCCTGCATCCGCACGTGCGGAGGGCAGGCAGTACACGTGTGTGACGACAGATGACATCAGTTGCATCTTGAGAAAAGAACTAGGTATCCTGAGGCGGGCTGAAAGGAAGATTTTCACTAGGTCCTATTTTGTAGCTTGTAAATCTTGAACCACATAAATGTATTATCTAGGGCTTCCCTAGTGGCTCAGAGGTTAGGAACCCGCCTGCCAATGCAGGTGACATGGGTTTGACCCCTGGGTCGGGAAGATCCCCTGGAGAAGGAAATAGCCACCCATTCTGGGATTCTTGGGGAAATCTCACGAACAGAGGAGCCTGGCGGACTACAGTTCATAGGGTCACAAAGAGTCGGACATGACTTAGAGACTAAATGACAACAAGTGTATTATCTATTCACAAAGCTGTTCATCAGATTTAAAGAGGAAAAGGTTTTAACTTTAAAATGTACACTTAGGGTGGTGGTTTTTAAATTGTTCATAATGATTTCCATAAAAAAAGACCCTCCCTAAGTGGATGAGAATACATGAACTCCCCTGCAGTACACAACAGTCAGTTGAACAACACTGGTTACGGTTCTCTCAAACACTGGTGTTAAGAGGTGTTGCCGGGAGGAATAGAGGAGCCTGCTCACTTTCTCGGCACGTGTAACGGCCGGGTTTTGCTGAGGGGGCTTCTGTCTGGGCCACATCCTTACAGCAGGCTGCTAACAAGGCCAGTGTTATGAGGTCAGTATTCGGGGGAATTGTAAGAATACCGCTCACCCCTCCAGCCATCCTTTAACTCCAAGCCAGCGATCCAAGGGGTCGCCCCTTAAGAGGGCAGATGTCTCTGTAAACCGTGGATCATTACCGGCAGAAGAAAGAGGCTCTGGGTCTCACTGACTGTGGGTCAATGTGGTCATGGTTTTAATGGGCTTTGCCTAATCTGGTACCAGGCATGCATGCCAAGTTGCTTCAGTCGTGTCCAACTCCTTGCAACCCCATGAGCCGTAGCCCACCAGGCTCCTCTGTCCATAGGATTCTCCAGGCAAGAATACTGGAGTGGGTTGCCATTTCCTTCTCCAGGGGATCTTCCTCGCTTAGGGATCAAACTGACATCTCTTTAAGTCTCCTACATTGGTAGGCAGGTTCTTTACCACTAGCACCACCTGCAAAACCCGTGTGGTACCTACCACTGGTCTGCTCTCACCGGGCACCAGTGCCCACAGCAAGGCAGCGGGAGGAGGCCTGGGCAGCCCCGTGAGGTCCGCTCACCTTGTGTGATTCTGCCAGCCTCTGACCCCTTCCTTGGGCTCAGTACTTCCAGTGGGAGTAAATGAAACTTGTCGAAGGTGTCTGCGGTTCAGTGGAGTTGAGAGCGCACCGCCCGCAGAGCCTGGACAGAGCCAGGCTCCGGATGAGACCTGTCCCTCCTCGTTCTCCTATGGCCACCTGCATCTCTGAGCCCCGGGCCTGTTCTCTGCGCGTGGGGCTGCGATTCAGTCAGAATCTAGATGTTAGATTGCGGGTGTGAGGAGTAGCCCAGAGGCTGAAGTCAGCCTTCACTTCCTGGATTCAGTATTTGGGAATTTGCCTCCTCGCTAAGATGCGTGGTGTATATAAGACCCCCTTGCAGGGACCTCTCGGAGTGTCCAGGGGATGTGGGTGGGCAGGCAGTGACTGCCCTGTCCTGTTTTATGGATAAGAAGCAGCAACGTGCCCACCATTACCCAGGAGGAGCTGGGAGAGATGGTATAGTAGCTGGCACTTGTATACTCAGGCACTCGGTCGTGTCTGACTCTGAGACCCTGTGGACTGTAGCCAGCCACACTCCTCTGTTCATGGAATTTTCTAGGCAAGAATACTGGAATGGGTTGCCACTTCTTCTTCCAGGGGATCTTCCTGACCCAGGAATCGAACCCATGTCTCTTTATGTCTCCTGCATTGGCAGGCAGGTCCTTGACCACTAGAGCCACCTACAAAGTCATGCAGCAAATTACCCCTGAACCTCAAAACTTTAAGTACCACATATTGATTATCCCGCATGGTTTCTAGGGGTCAGAAACCTGGGAGCGGCTTGGCTGGTGGTGCTGGCATGGCAGTGGGGCAGGATGGGGTCTTATGGGCACAGTCAAGTTCAGCTCAGTCGCTCAGTCATGTCCCACTCTTTGCAAACCCATGAATCACAGCACACCAGGCCCCCCTGTCCATCACCAGCTCCAGAGTCCACCCAAAGCCATGTCTGTCGAGTTGATAATGCCATCTAACCATCTCATCCTCTGTCGTACCCTTCTCCTCCTGCCCTCAATCTTTCCCAGCATCAGGGTCTTTTCCAGTGAGTCAGCTCTTCACATCAGGTGGCCAAAGTATTGGAGTTTCAGAGTGTTCCCATGTTGCGCGTGAGGTGAGCTCTTTGAAAAGGTGGTGTCGAGAATTCACATCTACGTGTTCTGCGGGGGGTTTAGTAGGTGTGGTTGTGCGTCCTCTTTGTTCGTTCACCTACTGACTTGCTGACCTACATGGGCGGACCACCCCCACCCCGGCTTCCTGCAGCCTTCGTAGGATTCAGGCAGCAGAAACCTCACCAGCATCAGCTTTGGTTCTCTTCCAAGCCCCTTCTCTCCACAAAGTCATGGGAGACTGACTTCCTCGGGAGTGACGTGATGCTCTGGGATGTTGATGCCACAGAGCGTGTACCCAGTCTGTTTTCTGTCTAGGACTTAGTTCTTTCCAACTTAAGATTCAGTGATTCGATGCGGTGTCCCTGCCGTCCCTCACCCGTGGGCTGAGGGCTGCACGGGAGGCCCTGTAGTTACGAGTGAAGGTTTAACAGGAGGAAAAGGAACGCGGTTAGTTCTCCAGTCTCACCCCAGAATCTGGATGACCTTCTTGCCTCCCTACTAGAAACCATCCTTACTTCACGGGTGAAGAAGTGGGGGCAGAGGCCCATGAGATGACTTGCCCAAGCCGCAGGCAGTGCGGTACCCGAGTCCAGATCTGTGACTTTCCACTTTGTGTCACTCAGCCGTCTGTCGAATAGATCAACAGATAGCTTTCATGGTTAAGAGGCTTGTTCCTCTAGCTCGGTGCTCAAATTATAACACGGAATCTGACCAAAAGACAGAATATTTGAAATCAGAGCTGTCGTGTAAACTCTTATGGCGTGTAGGTGCCATGCGGATGTTTATCAGTACTAATGCAGTCGCCTCCACGTTGAGTGCTGTTGAATGTGATTTTTCTTCCTTCTCTATGTATTCTTAAGCATACTGTAATTCTTCTATTGTTTGGAGTGACGGCTCTTTGCACGAGCAGGCTCCATCCCGAGTGAGGCATCGATACTAATACAGTGGTAGGGCGTGAAGCATTCACAATACACAGTTTAGATGCATGTTTTCTTCCCTATTAATATATTTGGTTTCAGTTTTCCCCACTCTACGTACCATCAACTGTTCTTCTGTACTATTGTTTCCCAAGGGCCTTGGTAAAAATCTTACGTAAATAAAAAAGCATCCAGTAAATGCATAAAGGATGAACAAATGAATTAATCCGTCAGCTTTCTGGACCGAGATACCACAGAACAAATGAAACATATTTCAAGGAGAGAATTCTTTTGAAAAAGTGTGACCCTAAGGCGTTCACTCTTGCGTGTGAGAGAGAGACGAAGAGAGAGAGACAGAGAGACGAAGAGAGAGAGACAGAGAGACAGAGGGAGACCTGCACCCACTGCTGGGTGTTTCCTATGCAGAGTCTGGGGGACACTGTAACGGGGTGAACAGAAAGGGTCTGAGATGAGAATGTCACCAACTGTCAGCTCCCGGAGGAGGACGCACCCGCCGGCCAGGCAGCGCTCGCCTTCTTACCCACGACGGTTAAATCTGAGCCCAGCTCGTCAGCATGTCCGGGGGTCTTAGGTGAGGGGTAGAGTTGACGTATGTGTGATTTTCAGGTCTAGGCTTCTGTCCATTTCCTGCGGCTGCTCTAACAAAACATCACACGCCAAGCAGCTCAAAACAACAGAAATGTCTCCTCTCGTGGTTGTGGAGGCCAGAAGTCCAAGATCCAGCGTGGGTAGGACAACTCTCCCTCCCAAGGCTGCGGAGGAGAGCCCGCTCTTCGCCTCCTGCAGCTGCTGGCGGCTGTTGCTGCTCCCGGCTGTGGCCACGTCCTTGCAGTCGCTGCCTCTTGTCACACTGCTCTCTGTCCCTCGTAAGGACGCTGGTCACTGGACTTGGGGGCTGCCCAGATAACCCAGGATGGTCTCTTCATCTTAGGATCCTTAATTACATCTCCAAAGACCTTTTTTTCCAAATAAGATCACGTCTGCAGATTCCCAGGGTTAGGACGTGGACATATCTTTGGCGGGGGTAGGGGGTGCGGGGAGGCACATTCAGCTCACCAGCGGTTTACGGTGGGTCTTTCAATGGGGCGATCGCAGCAGGACCCGGCAAACCTCTCACAGGAACAGCTTAGGCTGATGGGCGCCCTAAGGAAGGAGCTGGAGGGAGTTTTGATGAAGACACCCTTGTTCGATGAGCCCATGCTCGGTCCAGCTGAGCAGGCTCATGTCCTGGACTGGGCCTGTGTGAGAACCTGACTTGGATAAGTTGATTTTGAAGAAGTTACGGAAGCATCTCAGGAAGTGACATCAGAGGGAGTTGCTGTTGGGATCCAACACCTGGTGGGGTTTCAGCCACACTTCTGGGGTGTCAGCGCCATCACTGCCACGAGGCAGGACCTGGAATGGCCAAGCTGCCTCTTGGGGCAAGAAAACAGACCCCAGTTATCCTACCAGGAAAGAGCATCAGACTTCCACTGGGCGCCCGGGAGCAGAACGAGGAACCCACTTCTCGGCAGACGGGGGCCGCGAACTGGGGGCAAAGCAGCCCCCTCTTGTTGGAAACCCGCAGGGGTGAGGCCGGGGGCTTCTCCCTGAACTCTGCGCCCTAAGGACGAGGCTGCCCCTGGGCCCACAGCTGCCTCCTTGGGGAACAGGAAGGCTGGACGGTTGGGTGTTTGCCCAGAAGGTGGTATTGGGGGTGGCAGAGGCCAGCTGGACAAATGTAAGCCTCCCTCCCATGCTTCCATCCACCAGGGAGGGGTTGCCTAATAAGGAACGTGAGACCTGTGCTAGGAAGCAAAGAAGCTGCACTTTATTTCCACACCAGAGTGGGGTCACACCTGAGATGCTGCAGGGGTTACATGCTAACAGCTCACCTGAAGGGGCAAGAGGGGGGACCGGGGCACCTAG